GAAAGATGAGCACTATTTTTTTCATTTATTGCTATCAAAACATCAATCTTTCGTCCCCTGGCAGAAAATGATGTGGAATACAACAGAGGGAATAATCAAAACAGAGCAATTTTGCATTGACTGCATGCAGAAGAATGGAAATGGCTTCAAAGCGCAAGATTCACCTAGCCTGTCAACCAGACATAGGAAGCGTGCTAGCAGAGAGTAGACTTCATCTAATCGAAGCAATTTATCCATCCATGTTTGCGCAGAAATTAGATCGAGACTAGCGGCGGCGCCTGTATTTGCTGCTGCCTTTCTTGTGAAGTGTCTTTCAGTGCCAAATCCAAGCCCAAAACGACCGGCGAACGACTCGAATAGAGTGGCTTGAGATCCGGCAAGCTGGCCGAGTAGAGCAAGAGTTGCGTCAACGAGGAAGGCAGAACAACCAGGTGCCCCTAAGCCTCTGGGCAAAATTGACAGGGAGTAGACGGAATCTTCATTAGAGAGTAGAGGACAAGTCTCATCCGTGCAAGATTCAGAAGCCTGTTTTCCGGTGTTGTCGATATTGTCTAAGGATGAAAAAGTAGCGTGAAAATCAAAATGTTAGCGAGGTGTAGATGTGACTATGCTGAGATTATACTGTTGAGAAGCCGTAATAAGTAACAAGGTAGAAGGAAAGATGTTTTAGACATGGTATACTGACCATCCTCGTTAAAAATGTATATTAATCGACGAATAACTATATTAAAAGCCAAGCTTGTGTCGCTTATTAAAATATGGCGAAATTACAAGTGCTCTCGTCTTTTTAATTGCAAATACGTAAATCAAATTAGTATAACGATAATCTATAATAAGGCCTCATTTGATTATGAGCGCATTAGTGTCTAAATGGAATGAGGAAATAAAGTGACTTGCTTATAAAAAACTAACGGCGAAATTAGAATTTCACAAAAGATTGAATTTCACCATGCATCCTAAAATTGCACTCTTAATCAGTGACTCTATCTAAGTCTCGCCAGCACTTTCGACCGATTTAACTGTAGATTCAACTATAGCGAATAGACTTTTTTCTTGAAAAAAATAAAATTACAATTCAGACAAAGTAGGTCTCACATATGCAACAGGGATAGCTGCACATTTAATAATTAAGTTTTTAGTTCGAGGCAGTTTGCTTTTACTGTGAGTAAATAATGTGCGTCGATGGAGCAGGTCAGAAAACAACCATAATCTCATTAATCAGTATTCAAATAGCAGAGGAGCATTATGAATATAATACTATAATGTGCTATTTACACATTCAACCCTCACCTCCGTCTGAGACCTCGAGGAAAAAATTAATCGAATTGCTTCTCAATTAAAGCATAGCTGACAAAATATACCTCATATGGTGATACTCATGACTGTTATTTGAGATTATATGAATAGCCTGGTTTACTTAATTTGAAGGTTCACATAATTGCGGAATAGGGTAGTCATCAAATACTTACCTGATACACACGGTTCTTGTAAACACGCGTCTCTTGTAGGCCCCTTGAGTAAGTCCTTGGAAGGTTCCAGCCATGCAACTAGGCACTGGATGCAAGATAATGCAATAAATTATAATTTGAAACAATATATAAAATATTTTAAGTGGAGTTTCGAGACTACCAATAAATCAGTTTTATTAGATGTATTCACCCAGTTTCGTTTAAGGTGATGAAGGAATGGTTGTAGAATTTTCCCACAATTATATGAGTAGAGCTGATGTTTCTATCCAATTTCGCATAGCCTTGTTTTCCCAAAAGTTGTTATCATCCAGGGTGGACTGCAGTTTAGACCTCGCATCGGTCTTATTAACACCCTCAGCGGGAGTCGAACCGCGAGAGTGCAGGATGGAAGCTTGACACGCTAACCAGTCAGCTACACTGCCACGAGTACCCTTGAGTCACAAGCCAC